GCAAGTGTAGAATATGCTTGGGACATGTCTAGAAGAACAGAAGAATCTAGCAAAATTAATGTTTGAACAAGCAAAGATTTGCGAATGGCTTTCTTCCAGCTGAGAACTGGCTTGACACTTGCCACTTCGCAAAATTTAAAAAGCAGACATATAATACTAATATTTGGCTTGCATTTCATGAAATTAATTTTTTTTTGAAACATTTTTCTTCCATTTTGTTTTAAAATAAACATGGTGGTGTTTGAACAAAGTAAAAAAAACTCACCACCCCGCCGCCCAATTACATACATAATGCTGATTACACTGGGTCTGTACTCCCTGTATGTCTTCAGAAGAGTTTTATGTCTACTGATCAGCAGAGCCTGTTAAGACTTTTTTTTTTTTCATTATGTTAGCCACCCTTCAGCAAGTTCTACACTCAAATAGCTTTCCTCTTGTCATTTTGAATATAGTCCACATAGTCCACATGAAGTCCCAGCTTCTGTATCTGCTTTTTTTTTTTTTTTTTTTGGCTTAAGTTTTTCCTTGCACTGCACTGAACTTTGTGGCTTGTAACCTTCCCCAGACAGGTAACAGCTCATGTTCCTGGGCCTCCTTACTCCACTACAATTACCCATTTCTGTACTTTGTATCCAACTGGGTTTTTTAAATTTGAGGGAAATCCATTCTTCCATGCCTTAGTTTGCTCATCCTTATTTCTTCTGTTACTAGAAGGGAAGCGTATGTCCAGGATCAGAAGCACACGCAGGAACCAATGCTACTTTGACTAAACACTACACGCTCAAGGCAGTACTACTGCTCTTACCAGCTAGCAAAATTCTCTCTTAAGATGATACTGTATTATTATATTGGATGACCTACGCTTGGACTTGAACCAAGGAGGTACAACTGTTACGGAATAAAGTAAATAAAACAAGAATGGCATACAGTGGCATTATAGCCACTATGAGAGAAGGGGACGAGAACAAGCTAAGAGGCAGTGGTGGAAACATGGACAACACTAAGCTCTGCCAGAGCCATCACCGAGCTGTACCTGGCAAACTCTACCTCTTCAGCTCTAGCCTGTGGCTAAGACAATTACAAGACCCAATGACAGACTTAAGGAAAAATGACTTAATTCTTCAAAATTCTTGATTCATTACACAGAAAAAAATGTTAATACTGAGAAAAAAATATGCATGACTCTGAATGCCTGAGACAAGAAGCACCTACCAAATTTCAAGACTATATACAATTGGAGAAATTATGCTAAGTAGCAACTCTAACACCTCGATAAAACTTACAATGCCACAACTGGAATGAAGATAAACTATCTGTTCCCAAAATTTATAGAAAGATTTTTTGTGTGTGTGTGATTATCAGAGGCAAATACAACCTCAGAAACATGCAGCTCTGGGACCTGCAACTCCTGTATGGGCTGTATTACGTTTTATTCCCATTTCCACATGTTCACATACACTCAGGTTTCTAATTATATATTAATTTCAATAGTTTGACTATTAAAAATTAACTTAACAAAACGTTTTCAGCTTTGAAGATTTGAACATGAAGGAACTCTCATTTGTTAAGTAATACAATTAACTCCCTTCACTCCTATTTATATAAACACACACATATATGAATATATATGGACATAGATGTACATATACACACACACACACCCTTATTCTATTATAAAAGCCTCCATGTTGCTGCTTCATATGATCAAGAAGCAAGCAACAAAGAAGAGAAGGTGGAAACACAGGCTGGCATTCATACTGAATGGCATTAAAAAAGAAAAAAGTCACATTCCCATTGAATGCCCCTTTTAAATCTCCAGCCCCATCCCAAGTACTGCCATTTAGAACAGACTTCACAAAATGCTATTCAAAAAGAAGCTTTTGACTAGAAGTCCAAAATAATTCTGCATAAGTTAATATAATCAGTTTTTATGTATGCATATGCATACACACACACACAGATTCTATACCAGGCATCAACGACATTTTAACAGGTATTACAACACTGCTTGAAGAGCCTGCTTGATACTTCAGAAAATGACATATAAAAAAACCCTCATGTGTAATATTCTATTAAACCAGATGACTGCTTACAATTTTGATGTTACAGTGATTCAACTGGTTAAAGAAACAATACAGTTAAGGCTTCAAAGTGATAGCAAATTTCCTTTAGGTTGCATTTAGTCAGTGACAGTAAACACATCAATAAAACTTGGTTTTTTATTCTATAAAACATACTAAATAGAGGTAAAGTTTCTGATGTTTCACCTACAGCAATGATCTAGGAGATTTTTTAATTTCATTTTTGTTGATATGGTTCCCACCAAAAGCAATGAACTTAATAAACTGCAGAAAATACTAGTAAGAATCTGACTTAAAATTATCTGCTAGGTTTTCTATAGAAAGCCTTTCAGAAGCACAATTAATGCATATGTGTTCAGTTTATGAAGTGCACAGAGTGCATGGCAAGAAATAATCTACTGCAGACAGTAAGAATTTATGTTCCAAATCAAATCACTCCAGACTGTTCCTTTTTCCTCTCTCTAAAATGCTACTGAATAGCACAGCTCTTACAAACATGATATTCAAATCCAAGAATTCAGCAAACATCTATTTCTCTTCCATATTTTTGCTGGTATTAAAACCACATATAATGTTTTTGGACCCTCTGCTAAAACTATTACCATAAAACCAGCCAGCAAATCATAATCATCACCATTTCTTAGAAGTCTTAAATCTCCGTCTTTTGACATCTCTGAAAAATTCCAGTTCAATATTAATCTAATATTAACTGCAGTGTAGCTCTTTCATTATTACTACAATCATGACTATCCTCAAACTTCAGAGTAATTTTTACATTAAGGTTTATGAGGGATGCTTTTACACAGTAAAAACATCTCAGCTGAAAAAAGGAGACAGTTCCGAGTATCTTCTTTTTCTTCATGCCTTCAATCCATTTGTTATTCCTGGCAGAAGAGTCTCTTTCCCCCGTCTTTAAAACAATGTAATTAAAAGCCCTCTGGCATTGTGAGAGAAAAAGGTTCAGAATTGCTTAAAGCCACCTTCCCATTTCTTCATGGCAGCAGTCTCAAGCAGACTTTTTAGTCAAGTCACTTGCTACCTACAGCAATAGTGTTCAAGAAAAACGAAGGGCTTTGAATAATAAAATAAAGGTAATTAAAAAAAAAACAAGCAGCATTCACTTCTTTTGACTCATGCCTGGCAACACAATAGCATTAAACAGTAAGCTATTTATCACAACTTCTCTCCCCTTGAGCTATCTCTTATAAACAATACAATTGCTTTGAACTTACTTCCACATCCAAATTACTTAAACTGCTCTATGATACTTGTATTGACTCCACCAGGATTTGGTATCAAGCTGACTTTACAGACTAGAAGCTGAATTTGTCTTAGGACAATGTATGCAGAAAGTAACACAGAGGAGAAGAAATGCTTCTCTTCTCCATTTGCAGAACAAACAGCTTTCCTTCCTTGCATTTCTGTCATGGTTTCTCAGACATGGTTATTCCCTGTGCTTTCCAAGAGTTCTGAAAGTTATGATAATCCTTCACAAGTATCTCCAAATCCTAAGAAATTTAGATGGTCACTCTGCTATCACTTGCCATCTATAGAGTAAATCCCAGACCTCTATGTGGAAAGAGCATAAAGGCACAAACCCAAAAAAATCTAAGCCTAGTATTAAAAACCCCATAGGCTTGGATCACCTAAATATGTCACCATTTACAGAAAGGGGTACCAGAAGTAGGCTATTTGAGAGAAAGCAAACACTAAGGGGTTTCAGTGGGCATTTTAAACATATTTTGTCTTAATTTTAATTTGTCATTGCTTCTGACAAAAAAACACCTTCTTTCTGCCTATATTGCAATGTGAATTTGCAGCTTGATTTTTTGAAGTGCAGTTGGAACATAGTTACATGTCTTACCAAATACTATGAACTATCACTTATGTTAGTAGCTAGAAGGTTTTTTATTTATACTATTAGGAGTAAAGCTCACAAATGTGCCATATATTGTTGCTGTTAAAATAAAATGTGAGTTCTTGGAAGAAGCTAACACTGTACAAAACACAGCAATTATGCTCCTCTGTTTTGGAAGGGTTAAGACCATCCAAAAAAATCTCTACTTTGGTCCATCACAACAAGACAAAAAAAGGTGGGGAAAAACACAATAGCTATATCCAGCTAGAATTTGTCCCATGTCTAACCTTCAAGAGAAGGTCATGGTTCTGTCCTGTGCCACAAGCAAACATAAATAGCCCCAAACTAACAGCTACTGCAGCATCTGATCATCAGGAGAATACACAGGACAAGTTTGTGAAAGCAGATGACTTTAATCAAATGCTGGCCTCAAGTCTCTTCCCTCAAGGTGATACAGGGCCTCTTCTATGCAAATTCAAGGTCAGTCCCAAAGCTGAGCAACCTCTATTACATTAACTCAGCATCCTACTTCTTACACACAGGAAATACTGATCTTGTAAACTTGAAAAGCACATACTCCTTTCCTACCACTCAAAAGTAAAGCTAAGGGTATATCATTATAAAGTTAAGTACATACAAATGTACAGGCTTTTACAGGGCTACGTTACAATTGACCAACTGTCTATTAGTAATCATGTCAATTTTGCCATAATTTCACAAACTTGTTTTGATCTTGACATTTTTTAAAGAAAGATGACAATCAGTACACTGTTTTACATGCTCGGAGTTCAGCATGTGTTCTTTAAATGAGAAAGTGCTCTCAAAGAGTTGACAACACATTGCCAAAAGTGACAAGCTGGTCCTGATCACATAGAACAGCTTTGTGTTACAGGTTTTTGTTTGTTTCATAAAATATACTGCTATTTTTTTTCCTTAAACAAGTTCTACCATACCAAATGCATGTCAAATGCGTGTCAAGAGAGACATCACAGCTTTACAACACAAGTATATTTTATGCACTGTTTTGTATCAGACTTAAAAAGCCCGCAAAGTAAACATACCTGTGTTCTGTGAGAACATTTACTGCTGACGGATGGTTGGCACAGTATGCAAGGTATAAGCTTTTCATCTGTGGCATCAAATTTAGAAAACATCCTCCAACCCTCTGCTGAGCTTCAGGCAACCTAAAAACAGAGTAATAAAGATAACATTACTCTAATACTGACACAGAAATAGACTAAAGCCTGGAAAAATAGTGTATATTGGGTTTTTTTCATTTGTTTTGTTGGTCTGTGTGTTGTTCTGTAAGATCAACAGATTTCTGTGGTCACTGACCAGCAACCAACAGCTTTCTCTTCCTTCTTTACAGCTCATCCTGTAACTGCCAGGCCTGATTATGCCACCACAGTATAGGCAGAATATGGTACATACCTCTAAGACGGTCATTCAGCAAAATTTTTTGAAGAATTAGTGGTAACTAGTACCTTCTTTCAGAGTTTGATTTTTAGTCAACATACCTATCAGTTAGAACAGTTTACTATTCACTTATATACACCATGCCAATCTTAAAAGCAGTATTTCAGCACTTAGATAAAAACTTGATGGAGTGGCAACAGGATTCTCTACCCTACACCAGCAGAGATGATAGGCTTAAAATATTCATTAAAAGATCCAAGTACCATATTAAGCTCTGATAGCACAAATAGAAGCCAGTTACAGAGCAGTAACAAGCTGCTTTCAGACAATTGTCACTCATCTTGCTTTTTAAGGACCATAAAGCACTTTTATGTTGGTTTGTAACCGGGGCAAGACTGCTGCTTTACCACCATCAGTATGGAACTACTTTCTATAACTCATACTTTCTTCATCTTTCATGCTCAAATGCACCACATCCGCTAAGTAGTGAAGGAAAATTTCACAATTCTGTTCAGAAGAGCATGTTTTGTACAGCATAAAATGGTGCTTAAAACAGCAACCTCAGTGACTTTGGCAAAAAAGATGACTCAGCAAGAGAAACAGTATTTAGAAGAAAAGCTTACTTTCACACAGTCTTGGTGAACCTAGTCTGTTTTGATCAGGTTTGCCAGAGGAATATACACACATTTATTCACAGAAATAAGGGGGACCAGATATGAAGAAAGATAATATGAATATACACAGTGTATTTTTCAAAAGGTGTTAGCAGAAACAGTCATCTCAAACTGCAGTAAGAAAATATTTGGAGTATAAATATCCAAAATTGGTTGTGTGGCATCAGCTTAGAATGGGTACAATCAGCAGAAAGTAGAAGTCTGACTTCTGATTTTGCATCTGTACAATCTGGGGGCAGGGGGGGAATATGTGACCTTCCAGTCTTATTCTTAGTATCTCCTTAAGCTGCATACTTCATAAATAAAAGTACACTCACATACTTTAAAAATCTAAAACAATTTTCAATCTAAATACAAACTGATGGGAAGAAATATATACTCTAACTAGTCATGCTTCCTTACTGCTACCATATCACCATTCTTAGAACCACTCAAAAGTATCCATACTAGAATTGGAATAACAAGTGAATGATATCATAAGGGTGCTGGAAGGGATGAAACCCTACTACTTTCTACAGAGCAACTCCCACTTGAAGGGCTAAGCCTCTTCAGCAGTAGGTTATAAGGCCAACAGCCGATTGTATAACCCACACTGAAGTTAACCAGAATATGGGACACTAAGTTTTCGGCAGGGCTACACGACAAGCTTGTCCCTGATGCCTTGTCTAAACCCACTGTACAACATGTGCAAGGAGATTAAATGCTTCAATTTCTCCATACATTTCCTCTCCTTGCATAAAGATGGCATCTCCTCACATAAATATGCCCAGTCTTTGCTTCAGCCTGTTTGCAAGATGAGACAAACAGTGGATTTTGTTGTTGTTACCATCCATTTAACTACTCTTAAAACCAGTATTCCACCCTGGATGGAGCAGAATCCAGATGAGTCCTCAGTAAGTAGTCAAAGTTAGCACAGTCAAAGGGTTTCATGCTAACATTAGTTCCAACAATTCCCTCTGGAACAATACTGTTTTGTCGTCAAGATTTTCTGCGATTGTCCCGAACATGTGCATAAAGTCTCTAAACACCAATATTTAAGCATATTCCCTCTGAAAGAGTGAGAGATGCTCCCGTGAACTCCAGCAGAAAAGAACTGTTCAGCTTTCCAGGAGAGCCACTCCTCCAGGCAGGGGATGTTCCCATCCTGCTCACACACAGTCCTCTGGTCCTGCTCCTTGGGTTTGCTTGTAGTAGTTAAAAGTTCACCCCAAAAAATACTCCCCCAAATTTCAAAACAAGATGTCTGTCTTCCTGCTAAGCTGTACAGTCCTTCTGTACGGTGTGGGAAGACCTACCCAATATGAAGTCAAAATTAAGTGTACGGGTGTTCAAAACAAGAGGGGAAACACACATCCTTATTTGACAGCAACGTTCATTATAGACACCCAGAAAACGACACCTGAATCCCCACTTAGCACATCATGCCAGATATACTCTGATCACATTATCGGCACTCCTTACATTAAAGGCTAGGGCCTGTATTTTATTCTCTGTATCTTCATTTCTCCTTCGAAAAGTTTAAACTCTGAAATTTAAGTGCCTGCTTTTGCAGGTATTTAGGGGAAACCCAGAGGCACTCCCCAGCATATCATGGGAATGCTATTTTTACAGCCTTCCAAGCAGCACATCCTGCCTAGCAGTTGGTCCCCTTTAATAAATGTAAGCATGAGCTAGTAATACATTCTTCAAGTAATAGATGCCACAAAAGTCTCAAACTCTGAAGACATACTCAAGGAACATAACTCAGTATTAAACAGTAAGAGGCCCCAATAAACAGTTGCTGAAAATGGTTAAATTGTCTTTTCATACTGTAGTGCCGGGGGGGG